TGCTTTTCCTCCGCCTTTGGCGGGATCGGTTCCTGGGGCTTGTTTTCCGTCTTGGGCACAGTTGGTTCCTGATGCTTTTCCTCCGCCTTTGGCGGGATCGGTTCCTCAGGCTTGTTTTCCGTCTTGGGCACAAGTTGGTTCCTGATGCTTTTCCTCCGCCTTTGGCGGGATCGGTTCCTGAGGCTTCTCGTCCGGCTTCGGCGCAATTTCATTTGTCTCGGTAGCCAGCTGTAGAGGCTTCTCTTCTGGCTTCGGAAGGATCGGTCCCTGAGGCTTGTCATCTGGCTTGGGCAGAATTTCATTCGCCTCGGTAGTTTTCGCTGCGGGTTCCTCCGGCTTTTGTTGCTGTTGTTGTTCATCTGAAATGATCACGATTAAGACTGACGATGACATAGGGCAACTTTAGCAAACTGATTTGACCGAATCACAAGCGGTACGACTTCTAATGCAAGTGTAAAAAAATTATGCAGCATTTATTTACTGTGCCGTTCCATAAAATTCCTCTAAATTTACGGAGGAAAAATGGATAACAGTCAGCTCCTGCTAGTCTTACCCTCCTCCTCTGAAAAACATCGAAAATGTATTACATGGAAAAAAATGTAGTGACATAAGCAGGCTTTCTCAGAAACTATCAAAAATACTATGTTTGCTGAATGAGCTTTGAACTACAGCGTGGCTGGGGTTAAAGGAGAAAGGGTCATTACGAATAATAAGGAGGATGCAGCAGCGGTAGAATTTGTAGAGAGATGAGTTGCACCGTCAAACAGTAGCTTATTCATAAAGTCATGGAATGAAATCAAATTCTTCATAAAGTCATGGAATGAAATCAAATTCTACCATCTTAAGTGTCAAAATGATTGAATGATTAGTTGCTCGACAGTAATCCCGTGGATACATTATGGTATAGGGGAGACGGGCAAGAGGATCGTAAGTTGCCGCTTCGCCTGGCGCGGCAATGGACGCGGCGTTTTCAACTCGACTTCAACTTGACCTGTCGGCTGTACAATCAGACTTCATG